TCGGAAATGGATTCTCTAATCTCCTTAATCAAGATACAGCCAGCATGAACAATACTTCTAATGGGTATAACCAGAAGGATGAAGATGTACAAAAGCAGTAAGTGTTTTGGGAGTTTACTTGACAATTCTTTGAATTTCTTCGATTTCATTACCAAAACAAACAAACAAAAAAAACCTTTTCATTTCTTTTAAAACCGCAAATGTATAGATAGGTTTTTTACTAACATGGATTGATTATCCAACAGGACAAGCAACAATTCATTTGACAAAAACCATGTCAAATTTTCTATTAGTGTGCTTTGGTATACTTTTTTTCTTCAAACGGACCAATCATTTGTATGAGATTCTACAAAATAGTGTGACCAACCATTTCAAAAATGGACTACGAATAATATCAAAGTTTTTTTTTGTTTGGGGTCTAAATGTTAAATCGTAATAATATCAAAGTTGCAAAAAGAAACATATAAAGAGATTTATATCCTCTTTAATTTTAGTTATTATTATAGTGGATAATTAAAGATAAGCATGAAATATATGATTGGATTTTTTTTTTTTTGATAAAGATGATTGGATTTTATTGGTGTGATGCTTTATTTCTTTGTTAACATAGCTTACACGCAAATCAGTAATATGCTTAATGATTGCATTCATCGATGTTTTATTGAGAAAACCAAAATATTTGAAAGAAGAACAAAACCAATATTTGAAAGAAGAACATAAAATATCTCAACGACTGGTGCATATTGTTATCACCTAAATACGTCACCTAATATGTCATTCGAAAGAATAAATTCAAATGTCATTTTCCAGATTACGTAAAGTCGTGTAATATTCCACTTGTGGGAGAATCTCACTTTTTTTTTTAATCTACTCTCTGATTTGATTGGAAACCCAACTCTTCTTCATAATACAGTTTTTTTGTTGCGTATAAAAATCTTTCTTGAATTCTTAAATTGGTATGAAATTCAAGAAATCTTGAAATTCGAGCCTAGCTCAGAAAATGAGAGTAAATTCAGAGGATGTGATTCATTTGAGAATTGAGAGTTTCTTAAAAAAATCTGGAAAATAATAACAAGTGTGAAAGAAGTATGAATAAAATAATAATATGAAAAAGCGGAGAGGAAGAAGGAGAGCCACAGAAAAAGAGTGGGACCCACGAGACCTTGTTGTAAGAAGCAGAGTGTTTCCTTTTGATTCATCAAAATCAAATCTCTCTTATCTTCTTCTTCCTTCACCACCACCCATTTTCTTCACCTGCATTTCTGCTAAAGCTATTCTCAGATTTGCCAGAAAACCAAACCAAAAAGGCAGAATCT